TTACCTTTCCCAAACTGCCTCAGAGAAGGGTATAGTTTCTTGACAATGTCTAACAGAAGCTATACTTCCCTCTTGGATACTGCATATATCCGGTAAGGATTCCCTGTGCCGTGTCATCGTTATAGTGTGAAAATTAAGAAGGCTTTCATCTATAACAATATATATATCATTCAATGTATATGTTAATCTATAACAATAAAAAAAAATTTTTTTTATTGTACATATGAACTATATCTAGATGCAATGAATATACAAATAAGTTGTGTGACTGGCAAGTCATCTTATTTACTTGTATTTAGACAAGATCCAGTTTAGCATTTTTCAATACTTAAAGATCTATATTATAATAATAAAAATATTGTAAATAAAGAAGATTTGCTCAACAACTTTTTTGAAAATTCTGGTATAGTAATTTGATTAATAATCTGTCTTCTGAGTCTTCAATTATATAATTTAAATATTTATTATTAGATCAATCTGAATCTATATTATTGAATTAATTTGAATCTTTGCCATTATATTAAGTTGAATCTGAACATTCATTGTTGAATCAAGTTGAACCTCTATTGTCAAATCAAATTAAAACTCTATTGTCAAATTAAATTAAATCATTATTATCAAATCAAACCAGATCTTCATTACTGAATCAAACCAAATTTTTATCTGAAAATATTAAATCTTCAAGTTAACTTAAATCCTTATCATTGGCTAGTCTTGAAAACAATGTACATACATTTTATATGATTTAGAAATACATACTTTTTTTTTTATTTAATATATATAGTTCAATATACAAGAAGAACTATTACCAAATATTTAATCACACCACCAGCTTTCTTATAAATACAAAAATGAATTACTTGCAAACTATTGAGAACGAATAAAAAACCAGATGCTAAAAAAAGATAAGCATCAACTCGAATATGCTATTAATGAATATGTTTGCATTGCAATCCTAAAACTAAATTGTAACAATATCAACTGACATACTTTACTCTTCAAAGTAATTAAAGAATTACCAAACAAGATGTACCACTTGCAATATAAAAATAGTATTCTTGATATAGTCTTTAATGTGAATAAACTTATGTCATTAGGACTAACTAAGTATGAAGAGCTTGAAGTCTGTAAAAATAATGCTATTAGTGTTTGTGAAGCTGCAAGAATGCAATCAATATCAACTGTAACAGGTGTATTTTGTAATTGTAAAAATGAATATAAAAATAATAATTGTAAATATAAATATTCTAGTATACAATGTGGAAGTAGTTGTCATTCACATAGTTTAAAATATAAAAATAAAGAATAATTCTTGAATTAAATAATGTGATATAAAATAATTATAATAATATTTATGATTATTATTATTATTTTTTTTTTTTATAGTTAAAGTCCCTATCTTGGGAGTTACGATGTTTTTATTCAAGTATATTAGGACACAGCATGC